AATCTTGAGTATCAGCTGTGCTGTACCATGTAAATATGTCCTAAAAGAATGTGTCATTATCTGGACTACTTTTTACACAAATTTTGTTCAGCTCTGCTCCTGCCAAAAAGTTTTTAAAGAAGATTCAGTGACTGGGCTTTAGAGAATCATAATAACATGTAGTTCTCCATGTTGGAGATGGGAACTTCCCATAAAATCAGGACCAAAGCAGCCCCCAAAAAAAAATTGCACAAAAAATTGTTCAATAGAAAACTGGGCTATAAGTCCCAAATCCTGTAAGAAAATCATCTAGCTTTCCTTAAATCTGTCTGGGCCATCATATTCCTTTAGCTGTCATTGCAATCACCCTGCAGACAAGATGTATGGCATAGGATGTGAAAAAGACAAAGCTTGTGAGGCAACACAGATTTTTAATTTCTTGAGCTAGAATTTTTAACCAAAGTTTGTCACATCCATTGCTTCTTGTGTGGTGTTCTAGTCACTGCCTGGTTTCTTTTGAAGTTTGCTTTCAATTATGATTTTTACAACATTCTGTATATGTAAATAAATTTGTTCTTACATGTGGTTTTTTGGTAGGTACTAGAGTTTCTTGCAAAAAGTTTTTCCTCAAAAATCTTTTATACAAAGACTTTCTCCATCTGGACTATGAGTTATTAAAGAAATCCTGTCTGAACAGATCTTCCACACAGTGTATACAAACAGCAATCCTGTGTGGCTTTTTTAATGTATTTCAACATTTCCCCTGGGAGAATGCTTTTCTCTCTCTATAACTGCTGCTATGCCTGAACTCACTGGTGGAGATTTTCTTCAGTGATGAAGTTTTTTCATATTTCTAGCATAGACATTGTTTACTTTGAGTGTATTTTTTTCATATGTATTGAGGCTTTTCATTTAGCACAAGGCTTTTCCTTTCTGAATTGCATCTCACACTTGCTGTTCCTCTGAGAATGCTTTGGTGCGTTTTCAGATCTCTGTTCTACGCTTCCATCACCATCATCAGTCAAGACATACACATGAAACGTATATTGTATATATCTTAGATGAGACATAAAATTAAATACATATTATGTGAAGAAGAAAGTAACTTTGATTTTTAAAGACATTCCTCTTTTAAGCTGAAGAGTAATTCACTGGGCAGTAAAATGAAGATATGTGTACTCTTCAGCATGTAGTAAATGGTGAACTTTGGGGAATTACAGCAGAGAATGAGCTAATGAGTATTTCAGTTATTGTCATATCATTCTAGGAAACAGAGCTGGACGTTACTGGAAAATTTGGGAGTGCTGTTTCTTATAATGAAGGGAAGGGGTGCATTCCTGGATGCCCACAAGCTGCTCTGGCAATGTGAAGGTCACTGTCAGGTAGTTAGTCATCAAAATATCAATCATCAAAACATCAACATCATTTACAGCGTGCAGAGGTGTCTATATTGTCATCTAAAAAAGATTTAAGGGGAAAAATTACCTGTGTCATTAGCAAACATTTCATAGGACTCCCATGTTTTGTTAAGGAAATAAGGTATTTCACCAGACTCTGTAGAGTTCCTGACACATTTTTGTCTTAGATTGCCCTTAAAAAGCTGGAGGCCTATGAGGGCAAAGACACTCAGGCAGAAAACAGTCAGGATCATCACATTGGCAAGTTTCTTAACAGACTGGATAAGTGCCCCTACAATGATCTTGAGTCCTAGGACGACAATATACAGAGGAAAAGCAGGTTGAAAAACTGAGATTCATATGCCATACGTGATTAGAGGTAAAAAAATGTATAACAACCAAAGTACCAAAATTACTGGATAATATGTGGCAAATATATTTGCGATGCAAGTATAGTTTGGATGAGAGAGTAATTAATATGAGAACAATTTTTTTCCTCATTTGATTAACCCTAAAATTTCCAGATGTTCCCTTTAATCCCTGTAAAATATTTAGGCAAGGGTGAGGAACGAGAAGTAGTCTAGTTTTTCCTATCCAGAAAGAGTAATATGCATAATTCAAATGAAATTTCCAACACTGCTAATCCGTGAGGAAACGAAACATGGGAAACAATAATGAATATGATCAAAAAGTGTACAAAGAGAAGACAGAGGGAACCCACTGGTTCTTAATTTGTATTTCTTCATGAGAATGAATCCACTGGCTTTATAACTAAGAGAAAAGTAAAAAGGAAGCTGTTTAATATGATTTAATAAGATGATTAATATTAAAGTCCATTCAGTCACCAGAGGTGTTTCTGTTGAACCATAACACTTAGATCAGGTAGAAGAACGTTCTATAAAACTGACATTATAAAGTGTTAACAAAATCTTTAAAAACATAATGAAAATAAATTTAATACAAGATTGTTTCTAACACTTAATTTATTCTGGCTAGGCCAGGTGAACTCAGACACTATCTGTGTCCACAAATTCAGCTGTGTCTGCAATCAAAGATACCAAAAAAAAAAAAAAAAAAAGGGGGGGAAAAAAAAAGAAAAAAGGGAAAAAAATACAAAAGTCAACATTTTGACTGGAACAAGAACCAGTTGTAAGTAGCAGAGAACATTCAGCAAATAGGGTTTCTTACCTGGCACTACTGAAATGGTTTTTAAAGCTCTCAGAACCCTGAAAGTCCGAAGGACTGACACACTCCCCAAGTCACTAAATGCTCCCACATACCTGTAAAGTCAGGATGTGATACATCAAGTGATTTAATGGAGTAAACAAGTAAACAGAGCAATTATTTTACAGTGTCATTCTTAACTGTCAATGCTTCTGAGTCTATTTTAAGTATTAATAAACTATATACTAACGATTTATCTGAAGACTTATAAAATAGAAACACATTTCTTGTTTATTAGAATTTCCTTATGAGGCAGCTCTTGGCTTGTGCACAGCTGCTTTTGTGTCAGCATCTTAAAATACCATGCATTTAAAATATAAACAAAGATAACACTCAAAATTATTCATTTCAGGCTGAAACACTGGCTGAACTGGTTTGATGTCCCTTCTGTAGCTGCACCTAACCAGTATAAAAACTTTCTGATTCCTGCATACTGAAGCTCAAACTATGATTTTTGGAGATAAAGAGCCTAAATTTAATCTACTGTCCTGGTGTCTATACCCATCGTGCTCTTTGCAAACTTATTCTTTGATTCACAGGATCAGTATGTCTGTATTTGACAGCCCGGCTATTATGTTTTTCACTGATTGAAATGCATCCATTCACATACACTCACCATAGGGTGTGTCTTGCTCTGCACAGCTCTATTCCCTTCTTGAAAGACTAATACATTGTTGTTATACAGCAAGTGATAAAACAAGGGGAAGAGTCAATTTCCTAGATAGTTGCAGATGAAATTAGGACCCACAGGGTTTTTTTTTGTACTGCAAACAGCCTTTTGCACCACAGCAACAAAAACTTCAAATACGAAGCGCAAGCCCAGGTAATCCATACTTTGTGTGTTCCCACTTACGCCATAACAATGACACTGAAATCCAACCAATTCCAGGGATCTCGAAGGAAAGTGAATTCGTTTAGGCAGAATCCTCTTGCCAATATTTTTATCAATGATTCAAAAGTGTAAATGCCAGTGAAAGTAAATCTAAGGAGGGGAGAAAAGTGCCAAAGGAAAATGGCAATATTAGCAATCAACAGAAGAGACGCAGTCAGACTATTTACCGTCTAGGCCAACAAATCAAGCCAATGCTGCAGAGAAGTAATGGAAAGACTGCTGTTTATTTCAGTGTATTCTATCAGTGTCTGACTCATATGGAGTTTGAGACAGTAGTTGACTGCAATCTGGACATGGCTTTTAACATGCACGCCTGTGACATCGTTTATTGGCATTCAATAATTTGTTTCAAATGCTTTCATGTGAGTCCCCATAATTTAAGAAACACGAAACTCCTAGCTACCTGCTAATATAGAGAGCAAAATTTATATCTTCCTCTGTTTTAAAGTGGCCAAGTGAACGTGTGATAAGCTGTGTATTATTTACTTCAGGCACACAGCATCCATTTCTGTGCAGAATGTTTAAAACACTTAGAGCAATACAAGAGTACAGGATTTTCAATTTAAGATGGTAATTATTCTTATTAATGGAAAATTATCAGTAAAAGCTCTTCTGGACTTACTGAGTGCACTTATCATTTCAACAAGGCAGTGATCTCCCTGCAGAATTCAAAAGGCATTCATTTGGTAGTCAGCAAATGCACTAAGAAATTATATGGATGTAGTACTTCCCTTTTCATTTGGAAAGAAGTATTCTGAAATTATTATTGAAATGCATTTGAATGGTAGTCTTGATGCCAACAGCAGACACAACTCTTATCTAAACTTTAATACTCTCACAGGTAGAGAAATATCTCAGCATCTTCTGGAGATATGTGTATTAATACCAGGCAGAGTCTTGTTCCTGCTTGCATGCGGAATTGCCATTCACAACTCTTTTAATGTCATGTAAAACGAGACAGTCAGAAACAATTTTAGACCTGTTTTTAAAACTAAGTATTTTGGAATCTTTTCCTTTGTATTAGGTTTTGGAATTATCAGGGTTCGTATTCTAACATTTTTATGACAAACTGAGAAAGTGAGGGTTGAAATATTCTTTAAAAAAAAAAAAAAAAAAAAGGATTATCCAGCTTAAGTGGGACTATAAAGGCATGGATTTATTGTGATTTAACATTGCCAGTGTTGGCAGCACTGAAGATAAGAGCTTTACCTTCTAACAGCGTCCTGCAGGCCAGGAGCTTCTGACAATGTTTTGTTAGAGCAAAACTCAGCATTTCAGTATTATTAAAAAGAATTTTAGAAGACAGCAGCTCTTACTGTGCTTCATCAGCATCAGCAACAATGGGATACATGTCTGGATAAAGGGCAAATAATTACTGAGTAACTTCAGAAAGTGGGATAACAAACTGGAGCAGTAGGACAGATATGAAGCTAGTTCAACAGTAGAACTTAATCTACTTTTCCTCCCTCCTATAACACCACAATTATTGTGGATATTGAGATTAAAGACAAAAATACTTCCTCAAAGCAAAAAAAAAATTACAAAGTCCTACACAAGCAACTTTCCTTCTAAATCCCCCATAAAATATCTTGAGTGAAGGCAGCAAGGTAAGTCTCAATAATTCAATATAACTACAGAGTTAAAAAAACATACGTACCCACAGATACTTACTCAACATACTTGTTCCATGAAGGAGATGGAGAAGCCTTAGAGGACTCAGTCAGAGCCATGAATACACAATTAGTTATAATAGTACATATGATAAACGAAGTGAATAATGTAAGTCATGGGAGTGAAGGCAAAGAATGACATTCATTCAGAAATGTAACTAGATAGTCTATCAGTCATAGACATACTCATCTGGTTTTGAGTTTAAAGCACTTGTAAGAACAGCATGCACATGTATTTGCTGATTTTGAGTCATATTAGATGACAACACACTACCATTGTTATTCATGCCATCTGGACTTACGTATGGGCTACAGATCAGCTGCTCTAAGCATTGCAAACTTGGTAAAAGGATCCTCAACCCCTCAAAGAGTGGGAAGGAAGAATGCATTTTTTTAGTTTCATTTTATAGCATAAAAGTTAAAAACTTGCCCAAGGTCACAAAGGTGAAACCCAAATCTGACTTTAAATTGGCAGAGCTGTACTCTTCTGAAGGGACAGCACGAAGTCTGCCAGGATACTTGCAGGTATCTCAAAAGACTCTAGATGCCCATGTTTAGCCAACCCTTGGCTGTCCAGTTGCTCTCTGGGACCTGCTGACTATAGGGTATGAATGGGAACTTGGGCATCTAGCTCACGTGTACGCACCTAAGCTTAAGCACCTGTCTCTGGAGCTGAATCTCATGTCTTGTGTCATACCACACATTTTGGCAATCCAGGAGGTAGGTGTGCATGGGAAAGACATCTAGCCTTTCCATCATCTATCCTCTCATTCCCCACAAAAAAAATCTCCTGGCTTTAGCTCTAGGCATGGTCAAACTGTCACAAACCCAGGAGCTGGACCACTAGTGTTGAAATGCCAATATCAACCAACTTGCAGCCCAGAGAAAGCCTCGGATGAGAGGCATCGCTCCCCCAGGGACGTCTGTACCCTGTTATGACAATAACTTTGGACCCATTGCAGCTAACTCTGTACCACCATTCAGTACCACACAGCCAGGATATGTGTCCCAGGGAAACCTAAAATTCACACAGGGAAACCGCAGGCTCTGCACTGGGCCTGATTTAGCCATGAGTGTTGTTGTTCTGGTCTCATTCCCCAGTGCCAAACTGGAGTAATACACTAGTGATTCCCATCCCCTAAATTTGATGTACGAGGTGGAATCTATATTACCTTTATATTCCAAAGGCATTTTCTGCAACAGCATCCTTGGAAATTTTCACTTTCAATTATCAAAGTTTTTTTTTTAATCTGATTTCCTAAAGAAACTAACTTTATATGATTTTTCTTTCTGTGTGTTTTCATATGTGTGTCTGCCTATCTCAGACTTTTTTCTTAAAACCGGACAGTGGTTGATGACCTTTGGCACATGAGTTGAATTTAATTCCTGCAGTTTGGGTAAACAGAAGATGAGAAAGAGGATAGAGCTTTTATTAGTCTTCTACTGAGAAAGGCTTCAGCATGAGATACTTGTTTACGAGACAGCAGGAAATCACCATCAGAGATCATTCTCACAACACAAATCTGTAGAACATCAGGCTTCAACACCCCCAGTGCTCACGAAACTGTTTATTTCTAAGTAGCACAAGAGCATCAAGACAATAATTTCTAAGGTAATTAAGAATTAAAAATAATCTGGACTGAGGAAAAGACCAGATTCATTCAATGCTCTAAAATACAAAAGCACAGGATTACATAGAGCTTTGTAATCAAAAACAGCAAATGAAGCCAACAAAAGGATATGAATGTACTAAAATTTTAATTGCTGTTCTTCGGATTGGGTGGAAAGGACTGAGGATCCATAAGGCACGTGTAGCAGTAAATCTGAAGATTGTTTTCTGTTTGTTTAGCACTATGAAAATCTTTAAAAAAAATAAAGAAACATGAAGTAAAGTTTTCAGGAAGTTGAACAGAGAATATGTTTTTGTACTACATCCTGTTGTACCAGTGATGATCAAGAGCTTGATTTTAACTTTAGTCTGTTTATTTAAATGGGAAGACTCTTTGTGATACTTTGCTATCCTTTCACAATAAACTGATGAAAAAGTTAATACCCATTAACTGTTAGGCTGTAAAAAGGTACTCCGCATGAACTGCTTTTTTAAACTTTAGGACTTGCAAAGAGCTGTGCATAGAACTAATCTTGCTTATGACTATTTTCTTTAAATAAATTGAACTTCTCATTGAGTCAAGATATACAGAGGTGGAATGAAGAATTGCAACCTTTATCATCATTTGCTATTGTTGATAGTGATCCTTTAGCTCTAAGACTGTAGAAATTAGTTCAAAGTATTAACCATTTCTCAAGCAAGAACATAATTTCCAATGGATTAGTTCCCATTTCTTTGTTCTTTATTGAAAATCATATTCTTCAATACTTAAGACAAGAGGAAATGGTCTCAAGTTGTGCCAGGGGAGGTTCAGGTTGGATATTAGGAAGAACTTCTCCACTGTAAGAGTCATTAGGCATTGGCATAGGCTCCCCAGGGAGGTGGTGGAGTCACCATCCCTGGAGGTGTTCCAAAAACATTTAGATGTGGCACTTCGAGACATTGTTTAGTGGGCATGGTGGCATCAGGTATATGGTTGGACTTGATGGAGATTGAATAAGTAGGTTTTAAGGATTTACCAACAAATGTTTTACAATAATTTTTATACTTAGGTGATCATTTATTGTACATGTAAGTGGAGCACAAGCATTGAGATAGAAAGAAACACATTGTTTCAAATTACGGAATTTGAGAAAATTTACAAAATTATTATCATTTCTTGTAGATCTGACTGAAAACCTCCTTTGCTTCCTTTATCCATTTTATTTTTTCTGCTTCCATTCTGATTCAAATGTTAATCAAGTTCATATTCTTTAATTCCTATAATTCAAAATTAGGCTTTTTTAAAGAAGATTACAGCATGTCATTCAGCTGTGCCAACTGCCTGAATTATTATAACCTAGAAAGGGATGATCATTTTTCCAAGAGGATGTAAGCAAAACTGTCTGATAAATCATTCACTTAAACACTTCTTAGCAACACGATAAAACAAATTACAACCCAAGCATCTTGGTTGGGTCTAACCTTACGATCTTTGTAGTATGGGTCAAGATCCTCCAGTGGTTCCCCAATGAGCTCTGGAGGAGGATTTCCATAGAGAGCAGGTAACTTCTGGAAAGCTTTTAGGTCAAGTTGAGGACGTGGTTTCTTCTCAGGTTTCTGGTCTACAGTATTTCTCTGACAATTCCTCTTGGCAGCAATTCTCTTTTCGATAGCAGCCAAAGATTCGTAAGTGAACTTACGGAAGTTGTTGGTACCAAGTAGTAAGAACTCAGCCATTTTTCATTCTTCTCTTCCTGTCACTAACTCTGTCCAAATAACAGAAACAAATAGAAAGGAAGTCAAATAACTCCAAAACAGGTAAGTTATGAAAATTAAACAACTGTTTGCCCATGCTAATAACAAACTTTCTAAGCCATCAGCTTCTAAAAAGAAAAAAGAAGATATGATCAATACCTTTTTCAGTGAGATAGAATGTCTGTTCAGTATTTTTTTTTAAATTATGTGTATCTGATAAGATGTGGGCAGACCTCTATAAACTTCAGAGTGTATTTAGAGCACTTCATTTAAGATACCTATTATTCTAAATGCTCTTGAGCTGTTATTCAGAAAAAAAAACTAAGGTACTGGTTTAACTCAGTATTTGGAAATGGGACAATAAAACTCATCAAACTGCAACAATATTGAATATGTGGAAGCTGTGTTTGCAACAGAAGGACCAAGTATTAAATTAACTTGTGCAGATGTAAATACTCTGATGGATAACTCATCCTGGTGGTGTCAGCATAGGAATGAGCAATATCCAAATGTCAGAAGATTTAACTCGTTACCCATACAGTCAGTACTGACTGACATGGTGGACAGAAATGCTTGATCTGACAAGTATCAAGCACAAAGTTTATATTTATGACCATTTGCCAGAACAACAAAACTGGGATTATACTAGAAAAATATTTTACATTATATAATGGAGAATTTGGGTCAGGTATTGGATAGGATCCATTCAACTAAATGCTACTTCAGTCTGTACTTTGACAATACAGTGAATTCAACCTTCTACCTTGACGCTGTGAAAAGCTCCAGAGCAAGCCCAAGAAGTGCATATACACTGACAGCGAAACAACTGAAAACGGTACATGGAGTAAGATGATCCAGAACTGTATCCTTGTGCAAAATTCACTCAAAAGCTCTGTATGGAAATTTCTCTAAAATATTTTCTTTGGTTATGACCTCTAGGAAGACACTGTTGATTCAGTACAGAGTCACAGAGCTACTGAGCCAGTGCAGTCCCGCCTGCAGACTGTGAAATCATCCGATCTGGTTGAGAACTTTATCCAGGACGGATCACTGCTGAGTCTGCATGAAAGAAGATCACATTAGAGGCACACAGCCCGGTCTTCCTATCCAGAAGCTGCCATCACCGCTTCATTGTGTCCTTCAAAATTGACTCCATAACTATCAGCCAGAGCTTAATTTTGGAAAGTTTAAGCTGTTCTTGCTGGACAAGGATGACCTGCTCTTGAACCTTTCCTTTCCAGGCACTATATGCAACATCCCAGGAAAACACAAAGTCTGAATCAAGAGGCTTTGTTTTACCGAAAATAACTTTACTGCCTGTGTGCTGACTTTCTGTATTTTTCTCTCTCATGCAAAGTCATTTCATTTCTCCCCAGATACAACACGATTTCAGTTGTCCTCACATTGCTGAACTGTAGGAAACTATTGCTGTGACAACAACAGCTGGAGGCCAGTGACAAACTAACTGCAGTGAAATGTCTTCATGCCTCTCCCATTAAATAAGCACACAAAATTATAAATATGAAAAATAACCTTTGCTTTCAGCACAAAATAGCAACATTTCTGGAAGAGAAATAGGACATTCAGGCAAGAATACTCATTATTTTACACTTTTGAAGATCAAGCTAACAGTCTGGAAGTTTTATGTAGTATTATGGCAAAAATGAAAACTCTAACATCCACTCCCAAGTTTTCAAGACTTCAGCTAGCCAAAGTGGTATTTGTTTTGTTGATGTTCAGAATAATTTAGATGTTGTGGTATCAGTAATAAGAGCTGTGAATGATGCATGAAATGACACAATTTCTGTGCAATGCACAGAGGGAATACAATAATTACTTTATTCTGCTTTGTGCCAAATCATCCAAACGTACTCATCCGTCTACACAGCACTTCCATAGAAGTCTACCTAGTCTCAAAAGTACATCATTAAAATTCTGGGTTGGTTGCAGATTTCTTTGCAGTTTTCTCTCCTCTTTTCAATGAAACCATCTTTCAAATCCTAGAAAAGAAACTTTGATTGTCATACTGTTCTCCCTCAAGACTATCAGAAGGCAGAGCAAAATCTAAGATGAGATGTTGCTGGCTAAAGCCAAGGATCGGGAAATAGAAGGAAGCATGAGGACATGTAAGTCTGCAGGTCCTTAACTAGAGCTGGAGACCAAGCAGGGGAGTCTTTCCTGGTGGTTTTATAAATTGCTCCACAGGTGAACAAACATTAAGTAAAGGAAATAAAATCTTGTGCTTGCTGTCTCACACATCAGTAGCAAAATTTCCATTGATACCAGCCGCAAGTCATGGAGTAGAAGGCTAAACTACACTTCTCCTACATGGGCAATTGTGAGCTACTCAGTCTAGTCCTGAATAAAATCCAATGATTATTAAAAACGGAGTAATCCAGAAAAAATGCTCCTGATTCATTCAAGCACATTTAAAAATATCCCTAAAATAATTTCTGTTACTCGTGGTCTTAGGGAGGATATCATGCAAAGTACAGCTAAGATATATTTAGTTTTTTATATGACCAGGGCTAGATTTAGCAATTTGACCAAGAGAAGTAAAAAGTGTTAATGCAAAACCATTTTTGCCTTTGATGTCACAGAAGCAACAAAGTACCATTTTGGCCTTTTCTCAAGATTTGAAATATCTACAAAATAGTGTGACATTTAAAATCTCTTTAAAATGAAAAGTTTTCTTATTCTTCGACTGACTGAAGACCAGACAATGCTGAACGAAATCAACATGATTGAAGAATAAAAATAAGAAAACAAACAAAAAAATTATGATTTGCTCTTTTAGCTGTCAAACATATTTTCTATGAATTATTTCTCAAATACCAAGGTGTGAACCTAGATAGCTTTCAGAAGCAAGACTGCTTTCTTCCAAATGTGTTTCCTCTTTAGGAATATTCCTTGTGACAGACTAGGAAACAAGGTTATACTCAAAGATGTTTTATCTTGTTTTCTTGCTATTACAATCACCCCAATTCAATTCTCAGTTAATGAATAAAAGTTGTTCTCAATTACTCGATTTCCTGGCTTCATGATCTATTATGGAAAGAGGTGAAAACATGTTGACAATTATTGTGATCAGCATGGCCAAGGTAATTAGTATGATACGAGTGGCCAGCATTACCTTATTACATTTTTTTTTCTTTATCTTGCAATTCTTGTCTGTTAAAACTGTCCCTTTGGTTTAAAAAGGCTTTCATAATAAGCACAGAAATTATCTTGTAAGTAATTAGAATAACAGTTATTTGAAGACTGTATGTGAAAAGCCTTGTCCTATTGGAACAACTAAAATGTTATTATTCTCTTCAGTGTAGTTGATTTTTGTACACTTTTTTATCTTACTCAGTGATAATAATCAATGCTTGGAGGAGCAAAGTTAGGGACTCTAGACTGATCTAGCTGTTTGTATCTCTGGTAATTGTTTCAGGAGCCAATAATATCAATATGGACCTTGGAAAGACATGCCAACTACACCCCCCAAAGGTACTATGGTAGACTTGGGTTGTGTTGCATCATTCTACATCTGAATTTCCAGCGAGTAAGATAAATCTTTCTTGAACTCAATAAGGAAAGATTTAGTTAACAGCAGTTCAAAGCTTCTGTAGAACTGTTCTATTCTTTCCTCAAAAACTTTTCTATATTTTAAGGCAGACGATTCAATCGAACCAAACTGGTGTTGTCTTAATGATCTTTTAAAAATGTATGAAAATAAGTTTTATATATTAATATATGTAATTTTTTTAATCATGGAATAATTCAGATTGGAAGGGAAGTCAGGAGGTCTCTGGTTTAATCTGCTCCTCAAAATGGGTCACTCATGAGGTCAGGGCTTTATCCAGGCAAATCTCCAAGGACAGAGACTGCACAACCTCTTTGAGTAACCTGTTCCAATACTTGAATGTCTCAATCCATTTGGACCCCTTGTTGTTTCAATTTGTGCCCCTTGCCTCTTGTCTTTCCCCCATGCACCACTGTAATAATAAAAAAAAAATTGAAAGGTAAAAGGCAACCCACCCAAAAGACCTCTATATAAGGAAAACAGACATTATACCTACTTCAGCCCATTTAGTCTACCTATTTATAGCAGCCTACAAGAAACATCTTACAGGTCTGAATTAACACCATCCAGTGTAGCTCCATTGAAATTGCCAAGGGAGACTGATCAGCATGTTTGCTCATTAGTTTCCCACCTTTAGAACATCACACCTTACCTGAACTGAGCTTTGGCACCATCCTTCAAATATTCCAGGTTCAACCCCAAAATTTGTTTACCTTCCCTAGACAACCTGGCTGAGAGCTCCAGTTCTCTGAGTCTCCCAGCATGGTATCTGAATGAAAAGAGATGGCAACAGCTGATCTAGCTACCCTATATCCTCTTCGCAATCAACAAAACTCAGGACACACACCACCTAATGATAAGTAAACATAGATTAAGACACATGAAGAGTGTCGAAAAATGCAACTGATTTTATTCATTGTCTATAAAAGAAAACTTAGCATGAGGCAAATCTCACTCTTTCAATCTGGGTTTTACAGCTTACAATTCCCAGCACTGAGGAATGAAGGTAGCTGTGTAATAGTGTGGAGATTCACAAAATTATTTACAAAGACCTGATAAAGCCTGTTAGCATTCACCCAGAAATCCCTTTGGGTGGGATTCATCTCCTCTCCCTGCAGACATCTGAGAGTTAGACAGCTACGTCCCCACTAGATCTCTAACTGCCTGCTGAGACACTTTTTCACATTTTTTTCAGAATGAAATGAGTTGCATCTCACAGTGCCAGCTGTCTACAATTGATGATCTGAGATGTCTTAAGTGAGATGAGGTAAATTCAACTCTTTGCATCCGTTAGGCTACTCTTCATGCTGCCTCAACTAATGGACAACTGCTAAACTTCCAAAGATTTGTAATTCTACAGTCAGTGGTAGGACCGGGCAAACATCATTAGTCACCAGCAGACTGTGAACACACA